ATGACGGTCATAATATCTCTCCCCGCCTGCACAAACAGCTCGTCCTCGAGCTGGAAGGCGAGGCAGATCAACGGTCACCAAACACCTTCGCGCCAACTGGGGCGGGCTGGTCGCTGAGCCCGGCGGCGGCGGGGTCCTCCTCAATGTAGTCTACAACCTCCAGGTAGAAGAGTCGTGGGCAAACATGGCCCGGTATGTAGAGCTCGTCGCAGTTGAAGCACAACCCTTGGCGGCGACGCTCGAGTTGCTCGGCCGGGGTGAGCCGGCGGAACGGGCATGCCACAGCCGCGGCGAGGGGCGCCGCGGAAGCCTGGGCAGGCCGACCCTGCGCGGGAACTTCTGGCCAGGGTGGCGGCCCAGTGGCCCGGGGCGGTGGCGCCTGCTGGATGGCCACCGCGCGACGCTCGAACGCGCGGGCGTAGTACATGGCTATCTGGAGATCCTGTGGCCCGCGCATCTCCACGTCGACGCAAATGTGGTCCGGTAGGCCGCCGACGAAGAGCTCAGCCCGCCGACGAGCCGAAACGCCGGGGGTGTGGTACACCGATGCCTGGAAGCGGTCGGCGAAGTCTTGCACCGAGGTGAGGAACGGAAGACGCCCAAGCTCCGCCAGACGGCTCCCGCGTATAGGCGGACCGAAGCGCAAGAGGCACAATTCGCGGAAGCGCTCCCATGGTGGCACGCCGCCCTCGTCCTGTTCGAGGGCGTAGTACCACGTCTGCGTGGCTCCTTGGAGATGATACGAGGCAATCCAAGTGCGGTCGGACGCGAGCATGCGTTGTCCCCTGAAAAATTGGTCGCATTGGTTGAGCCAATTCAGGGGGTCGACGATGCCGTCGTAGGTCGCAAACTCCAGCTTGGAGAATCTCGGCGGCGTCTGGACGTGGACGACGGGCGGGTGCGCCTAGTCAGCACGCGCAGCGAGGATGATGGGGCCGGGTAGGCGGTCATCAAGGTGCCGCCCTGGAACAGGGGCCCGTCGACGCTGGCGAAAGGCTCGGCGTAGCCCGAGGACCCGCCAAATTGCATGGCCGGGTGCGTCGCCGGCGGAGGCAGCACATGCGGCCCGACCGAGGCTGTCGTATAGACCGGCGCAAGGGACCCAGCGAGCCAGGCCGGTAACGGAAACGGCGACGGGGGAAACCGGACCTGGTGGATGGGCACCCCCGGGCCCGTCGTCGGGATGCCCAGGGCCGCGATCGCTGGTGGCGGCGGCTGCAGCTGTTGCCCCTGCCGCATGGTGGAGGCGCCGGGGTTTGTCCCTGGTGGCGGCTGCCACAGCAGCTGCTGCATGGCGGCAGCGGCGGGGGTCGCCGAGGACGGCGTCTGCTGCGACGGTAGGGCGGTGGCGAAGGGCACAGGCGGCTGCGGCCCATAGGATCTCGCGAGGAACGTGTAGATGCCCGTGACCGCCTGGGTGAGATCCCGGATGGCAGCCGTCATCTCCTCCGGGTTGAAGAGGGCGGGGACGGGCGCAGCGGAGGTGACCGGCACCGGCAAGAGCGGGACGCTGGACGTGGTGGCCATCAGGGCGGTCGTCGCGGTCGGCAGCGGAAAGGATCGGGGTGGGTGGCGGCGAGGACATGATCGCATCGAAGCTATCTGATACCAAATTGGTAGGATCTGGGATCCTACCAGGTCTAGCTCTTAGGTTGTAGGGGTG